AAATATTTTGTTCTGCTAAAATAAAATAAGAGAAGATTTACATCCCAAAGTCCTTATCTGTGTTCATCCCTCCCCCAATACTACAACAGCACAAATCAAATTCAGTGTCAATTGGGCTGAATTGCCTTTTCATCACCTACTAATACTGCTGGGTCACCTTCATCAGACTGGATCTTTACACCAAATAAACCCCAAACATTAATCCCTCCCTTTCCCTTGTGGCGCAGTGGTTAAACCGCTGTACTGCAGCCAAAACTGTGCTCACGACCCGGGGTTCAATCCCAGGTAGCGGCTCAAGGTTGAGTCAGCCTTCTATCCTTCCGAGGTTGGTAAAATGAGTACCCAGCTCGGTGTGGGGGGCAATGTGTAGCCTGCATAACTAACTTGTAAACCGTCCAGAGAGTGCTTGAAGCACTATGGGGCGGTATATAAGCAGCACACTTTGCTTTTGCTTTGCTTTGTCTGGAATAACTACAGTTGATTGCCCCATTTCCTCTTAAAACTGGGATGAAGAAGATGTGGTCCTCCAGATGCTGCTGGGCTGCAATGCTAGTCTGCCAGACCAGGCATAGCCAATAACGAGGGATGGTGGATATAATAAGTCTCTGGTTTCTCCCAATACATGAAGGAGTGAGACATTCCTGTGCAGGGAATTCCCATGGTGGATGGCAGTGGGAGGAAGCAGCATTGTGTTAAACCAGGGAAGTGAAACTCTGGTGGGCTATTTCTGGACCTCAGGACCACTGGTGGGTTGGATCAGGCCCAGAAATAGTAATATACAAGGGGGGGAAACAACAACAAAAAATGTGCTCAGAAATCAATTTCTGATTTTGTTTTTTGTTTCGGAGGACTGGATTCCTTGTCACCCGATTTATTCAAAGTTCAGAAAACTCTTTTATTATTATTATTATTTTTAAAAAGGTGGGGGGCATCAGAGATGTTCAGGGGAGTTATAGGTGACAGAACAGCTTCAGGAGCCACATGCGGCCTATGGCCCGTGCTAAGCCTGTCCCTGCTTTAAATGGCCCAGCATATTTCATTTATCCCCTCCCCACACACACATGTTTCTTCAACAGCTGGCAGGGATCCTCAAGCTTGGCAGAATAAGGACTGTTGATGAGGGATTGGTGAAGCCAGCACAGAGGGTGAAATGTTAGCGTTTTGCCTATGTTGTCTTGGTCCAGCCACTCTTTGCAAACCGAGGGAGAAAAGAGCAAATAATGAAGTGGTTGATTGCCTAACCCTGACATTTCCCTCCATGTGTGTTTGCTTATTTTGGCCCTTTATGACAAGGGATGTGGCAGGAAGGCTGAGAAGCAAACAGATCTCTTAGTGGCACTTGAGGTGGCAGGGCTGCAACTGCCAACTGCCCCAGTTACTTGGATGGAAAGTTCTGTTCCCAAAACAGGTTCCCAGGCGGGGCATCATAACCTTGGACGATTAGGCCAAGCTTGTTTGTTTGCTGAGAAATGGCGGTGCTGGCCAGGAACAAACAGCATGTTTTATTGCGTGTTCTGCCTGAACCCTGTTTGTACAGCACTTGCTGAGAAAATGAACCCAAAGCTTCAGGAATAGTCCACTCTTGCTTAGTTACTGATGTCTGTCCATGGTTTCAAATAAATTCAGTCTTGCATTGTCAGTTCACCAGATAATGGACAGATCATGGCAGCTGTATTTGATAGCTATCCACCTTTTCTGTAGCCTCCGCTCATTGGCTGCATGGTTCCATTTAATCTCTACTGGGCTCTGAAGACCCGTTCTTATTCTTTTGAATGTTCACGATCTACTATTTTTTTCTTAGTCATCCCTTGGGTGTTTTTCTCCCTTTTAAAACAACAGCAAAAGCTTTCTAAAAGTAGAAGTCAAATATAGGACAGAATATTATTTTTGTTTTCACCCAGCATACCCGGTTTCCATTTCCAAAATCCTCCCACAGTTCTGCATTTCCTTGGCCACCTCCAAAAACTTACATGTATTCTTTGTGTTCTGAAAAACATTCTGGTTTTTAACTCCTGCAACGTTTGAAAGCCTTTCTGTCACAGCCTCAGTGAAGGAACATTATCCACATCTTTAGATTTGTGCTTAGATGATGGTCATATTGCACTGTGCTTATTTAACTAACAGCTTGAGTCCAAAAAGACGCTAGTCCTCATGTGATGTCATCAAGATAGGGTGTGAAGGAGCTTTCAGCTAAAGTTGAAGAAAAGTGGTCCAACCTGTTATGTATTGAAATCGGTGGCCCTTGTGATTGTCCCATTTGTACTCAGCAATAGCTAAAATCCTATGCTTAGGATACTTTCATTGCACTAAAGTCTATTTAAATCAGTGGAGGTTTGGTGAGTCAACTCCTATGTAAGTTCCATTGATTCGAATGGGCCTGCTCAAGTTCTGATATACTATGATAAAATAAGTCAGAACAAGAGTAGCCCCATTTGAATCAATGGAATGTATGGAGATTGACTCACCAAATCTCCACTCATTCCCTAGACCTACTCTAAACAACAAGATTTCAGGCAACACATTTGCATGTGCAACCTTTGAGCCCCATCTTCAACCTACTCTAAACAACAAGATTTCAGGCAATATATTTGCATGTGTAAATGCCCCATCTTTGTTTCCATACACTCCCATATTGTCTCATTAAACGTGGATAATTCGTATATTTATAATAAAGTACAGTCAGATTATGTAACAGAGGCAAGCAACAACATCATTGCCCATACATGATTATGCACTAGCCCCAAACAATTATATCTAGTGTCACCAAATTAAAGAAATATAAAGAAGGGGTTGTGGCTCTGTGGTAGAGCACATGCCTTGCATGCAGCAGGCTGCCATGTTCACCCCCTGGCATCTCTAGGCTTGCTTTGAACCTGGAGTGCCACTAGCCATTGGTGTTGACACTAGACCAATGGTCTGACAGAGTACAGAGATCTTTTTGTGTTCTTAATAACTTATTAATGAAGTTCATTCCCTATGTGTGTATTCTGTGTTGTCAAGATGGAACTGACTTATAGCGACCCAAACAGGGCTTTCATGGTAAGTGAGATATTTAAGGAGTGGCTTTACCACTTCCACCACCCCCGAGTTTTTATTTAAGGAGTGGCTTTACCAATTCCACCACCCCCGAGTTTTCATAGCCAAATGGGGATTTGAACCCTGTTCTCCAGAGTCCTAGTCCGTCACTCTATCTGGTACATCACACTGGGAATCCTGTAGATGGGGACAAATTCAGAAGGTCTGTGAGCCAATGTTCAGCCTGCAGGATTTACCACAGAAGGGGCTACATCTGCCCTGAAAACAAGGCATAAATAACAGAAAATCAGAACGAACTGTTTCTGGAAATATATTTCTGATTTCATCATTGTGTTTGGGAGAGGTAAGGATTGAAGGGCCCTGTGTGCCCTCATTTTCTATACTGTATTCTCCGATCTAAGTGTTTTAAGAGGATCTGTGTTTCAAGAAAATCATTATTGAATTCTGACTTGTCTCATGCTTAAGCCTGCTTCCCCAAATCTGGCACTTGCCAGATGTGTTGTATCATAACACTGATCATTACCATCTAGCAATTACTGTTCTTTGTATTTTGTATCATCTTCCTGAGGATTAGCTAACCAGCTGTCTTTTGGTCATTAGAAATCCTACAAAGGACTGAGAATCAGATTAGTATAAATACGAACTGAAATTTTGAACACTAAATTTCTTTACTGAATACACTCTTGAATATCTTATTTATTGGTTTTCTTTTAATTTATTAGGGAGGGCCTCTTTAATTTTTGATTAACAAGAATTCTATTCTCTAAATAGTTAACTAAGATTACAATAAACTAATATGTAGCTTTCTGATGTAATGAATGTCTAATGCCATTCTGGTGTCATTCTTATCTAATGAAATAAGAATTCTATTCTCTAAATAGTTAACTAATATTACAATAAACTAATATATAGCTTTCTGGTGTAATGAATGTCTAATGCCATTCTGATGTCACTCTTGTCTAATGAAATCTACTGATTATTTGTTTATTTATTTATTTTATTTTATTTTATTTCTATCCTGCCCTTTTAGACAAAGTCTACTCCAGGCGGGTTCCATTAAACATTGTATGCTAAAACAGTTAAAAATCATATTCTCTTTTGTAATTTTTTGAATTATAAGGTCAAGACTGAGAAAAGTTCCATTATTATACATTGTGCAGCCAATATACTGTATGTTTATTTATGTGTTTCTTTGAAGTTGACATAAAGTTTTAGAATACATAAAAATTTCATTGGAATGTGGATGTTTATTCATAAATCAAGTTTGTAAGTCACCTTGGGCACTATTCAAGGTAGTAGAAGGGTACAGTACAGACATAATAAACAATAATTATGAATATTAATTTGAAATCAGAAGCAGGTAGAACTCCTTGAGCATGGTACATGAATAAATGAATGAATGAATCAAGGAAGCAAACACACACACACTCCGGATGGTATTCAGCTGCACAGCTCTGTCTGCACAACAGCAGTTGTCATCATCATCATCGCAGAAATGCAGAGTTGGAAGGGACCTATGGAACATCAAGTCCAGCCCTTGTCATGGAGGCACAGTGAGGAAGGAACTCCCAATTTCTGGCTCTGCAGCCAGATGCCTAAAACCGCAGAGCTATCCAGATGACTGTGTCCCTCTCTGCCAGAACCTCACATTTCATAGGGCTTTGGCTGCAAATTTTACCACGTTAAGTTCTTTGTGTTTCCACAGTAGTATCTGAGAGCTGTATCTCTGTGTTTTGATATAGGCATTTGTTTATAGTGTCCAGCCTCTTTGGCCAACTCTGACAAGCAGCCATGTTCTATTCACCTGCTAACTGACAGCAGCAGGTAGGCACTAATTGTAGAGTTCCTTTAAAAAAAAATAAATTCAGATCATGCACAAGGTGTGCAAAATAACAGAAAGACACTCAAAGCCCGAAATAAAATAAAAAATAGAGAATCCTTTAATTCGTGAAAAATTGCTGTGCCTGGCGATGCTATTCACAGACCACTGGCAACCGAAGTAAAAACATTTCCCGGGTTTTCTTTTGCCTTGCAGCTCTTTAATGTTCAGCCAAGTTTGCGTCCAATATTTCTGAAAATTAGAAAATTCATGTTATTAACGAACACAAGGGTTATAAAAACCACACCAAGCATATTATAGTTCAGGGAAAATAATTAACAGATGTTGGGCAAAATGTTGTTGAGTAACTCTGTGCTGGCATAACCCGAATCAGGTGCTGGAAGCATTCAGTTTAAAGTAAGCGAAAGCTTTCTATCTCCCTCTTTTTAGGTTCCAAAGCTCTCCTTTGCTCCTAGGAAAGCAGGGAGGCTTTAACAGGAGGCTTTGCCACCTGATTGCTGCTGCCAGGATCAGAACTGCTGGTGACCCAGTAGTGATTTTTTTTAACTATTAAACGCTTCCTCTCCCATCCCAAGGCTCCCAAAGGCTTCTCCAGTGCAAAAGCGAGCCCCAGGAAGCCCCAGAACCTAAAAGGAATGAGATAGGAAGTTTTTAATTACTTTAAATTGAATGCTTCCAGCTCCTGATCCAGGTTATGCCAGTGCAGAGTTAGGCAACAGGATTATGCCCCTTTCCTAGTATCCTATCAGTAGTCCCAAATAGTGCAAAACCATTGACTCAATAGAATTTATGCAACTGTTGACTTATCATTCAGCAGTTGCTTCAGTGGCTGAAATCCTGTTGCTCAGCTCTGTGTGCACAATGCAAAGCAGTGGGAGTGCTAATGAAAAGCATGGTGGGGCAGAAGTGCCGTTCGCACACCACTGCTGCCTGTGTGCCATGCAGTGGTCACAACAGGAGTTGTGAGATTGGTTGCTCAATCTACTAGCAGAATGCTACTTGCCTGGACATAGCACCTGCCATATTTATACTGTTGTAACTTCGCATTACACCAGAATGTACAGGATTTTGCCCACTGTATTTATTCTTTAGTTTAGACTAGCAATAAGATACTAGCCATTATATATTCCACATCACTTCTTTTCTACTTTAAATACAAATTAATGTGGATTTTTTTTCCCTGTTGGATGGAGGAAAAGAGGACATTGTTGTTGAAAAGTATTTTCTGATATGGGGAACTAGGTCTTCTAAGAAAAAATGAAAATAAGATGAAAAAACTGTAAAGGATCAGAGCACGATATTTATCTCTCCTTTCCTTTCAGTTAAGAGCAGGGCTGCCTACCCATAGAACCATTCTAAAACAGCTTGAGTTTTTTACTTCTCTCTCTCTTTTTGTTGTTAAATATCCTTTGCAGCTCAAACGTCATGTGTCATAATAATCTTTACAGGAATGTCTTAAGAAAAAAAGACTGCAATTTAGTAAGTACTTTTCAGGGTCAGGATATCAGCATACATTAATGCTGAGAGCAGCAGGAGGGAAGAAGGTTTGATTTATAATTAAGCACCATGCAGTATCCGTGTGTGATAAGAGGCCGTTTCGGCTCCTGAAGCAGAACATCCAAGCAGCTTTGATATCTCGTAGCCTGGCCTAATAGCCTAACCCTAAAATGGCACTTTGGAAATGCTCAACTTTTGATAGAGACCATAATTTCACATTAGCATGGCATTTCCAGGCACAAAACAGACCAAGCACGATATGAGTTTTAATCACTAATGTGACTTCAGACACCAGGTAGCTAACTAAATGGTAGCAGCAGAATTTAATCAATAAAATACCACAGCTTTGATTTGGCAGCTGTTGCTAATTACATAGGTAAAGGTTCCCCTTGACAATTTTTTTAATAACTTGGGATAGGGTATGGGATACAGAGGGTAAAGGGAAATGTAAGGGGGGGGGGAAAGAGGCGGGAGAGGAGAAACACAAAATATACTGACATCCAGTCTATTTATATTGCAATATCAAAATTCAAACTTTCTGCTTATCTACTATTCGCTGCCCTCCAGATTTTAACTCATATTTACATCTTAGTTTAGATCTATGTTATTCAAACACTATCTGGTGACTTGAACCATTTATAAAATAAATCCCATCGTTCAGTTGCCTTTTCTATTGGACAGTCTTTCAACACTTCTGATAGAATATCCATTTCTGCTGCTTCTCGTATTTTCTCAATAAGTTCCTCTTGCTTGGTTATCACTTATCTTTTCCAGTTTTTGGCATAAAGAATTCTGGCTACAGTGACTATATATAAAAGAAAAGACCTCCCCTTGCCAACAAAAGTCATCATAGTCAAAGCTTTGGTTTTTCCAGTAGTGATGTATGGAAATGCTGGACCATAAAGAAAGCTGACTGCCGAAGAATTGATGCCTTTGAATTGTGGTGCTGGAGGAGACTCTTGAGAGTCCCCTGGACACCAAGGAGCACAAAACTATCCATTCTGAAGGAAGTCAGCCCTGAGTGCTCACTGGAAGGACAGATCCTGAAGCTGAGGCTCCAATACTTTGGCCATCTTGTGAGAAGAGAAGACTCCCTGGAAAAGACGCTGATGTTGGGAAAGTGTGAAAGCAAGAGGAGAAGGGGACGTCAAAGGATGAGATGGTTGGACAGTGTCACCGAAGTGACCAATATGAATTTGACCAAACGCCGGGAGGCAGTGGAAGACAGGAGGGCCTGGCATGCTCTGGTCCATGGGGTCATGAAGAGTCGGACATGACTAAACGGCTAAACAACAGGAGTGCCTTTGCAAAATTAAAACTTGTGTGGCAGCTGTACCCATTCCTGGATATATGCCTTAGTGACATATGCCTTAGTTGCATCCCAGGTGGAGTACTGTGACACACTCTATGTGAGGGCTTCCTCTGGAAAGTGTCTGGAATCTTCAGTGGGTCCAAAACGCTGCATCCAGATTACTACCTGGGGCTGGTCACCAGGATCACAGAACCCCTCTGTTACAGCTACTCAACTGGCTGCTGATCCATTTCCAGGCTTAATTCAGAGTGCTGGTTTTAACCTATAAAGTCTTGAACAGCTTGGGCTCAAGCTATCTCAAGGATTTGGGTGTTAAGATTATCAGGAGAGGCCTTTCTCTTAATCTCACCACCTTTTCAGGTGTGTGTGATGGGCACACAAGAGAGAGCCTTCTCTGTGGCTACTCTCAGACTTTGGAACTCCCTCCCACAGGAAGCATGGCGGCCCCCATCTTTGCTATCCTTCTGCAAGCAGGCCAAGACCTTCCTCTTCAGGCAAGCTTTCCGTCAGTGACTGGCTACCTGAGTGGGATTTTTAAATGGATTGTTGTGCCTTACTGCTTTGAATGTGCTTTTGGTGTGGCTTTTGTTTACCATGTTTCTTTGTGGTATTTTTTGACCCTTTGTATACTTACTGATTTAGACTTTAAAGATGGTATTTTCATCAATCTAAGCTACTTTGGGTCCTTTGTACGGAGAAAGGTGGGGTTAAAAATATTTTAAATAAATAAATAAATTCCCAAATGCCCAAATGTTCAGTGCTATGCTGCAGAAAAATCAGATCACTAAAGGGCTGGAGCCTGTCTTATGCATCTTGCTCCATCGCTTCCTTGAAGGTGGCTAGGTCCCAAAGGAGGGCTGAGGCAGAATAACCAAAGCCAAATACCCACCTTTGAAGTCAGTCTTTTCTTCTTGTCAGGTGAATTCCATTGCCATTAATTCAAGGCCTGAAAATAAATAACACCATTAAAACCTATGCTTGCCTTCATGCAGTCTTTCAAGACGTCATTTCCTTAATAGCACATTCACTGAGGAAATTAATAGTAGTCAATCAAACAAACCATACAGCATTCTGATTGCTCTCTATTATCAATGTAATAGTTTCTGAAGCATATTAAAATATGGCCTGTGTGCAGGGTAAGCAATCATCTGACCTGCCAGTGTATGTTCTCATGAGTGAAGTCTAGGATTTGTAAAACTGTTTTCTTTTCTTTTCTTTTAATGGCCTGGATGATAAGGTACTCATTAGAATGTTGAAACAAGTGTAAAGGAAACAATCTTACAAGGAGCATTTTTGGCAGTGATAAATAATTTGGCGTACTGGAAATTTGTAAACCAGAAGACAGAAGACTTCAAGCTTCTAGAATCTAATTACCTCCCTTTTTAAAACCATAACTCAAATTGGGTCTCACAATTAGGGCACAGATGGCAAACATAGGGCCATCCGGATGCTGTTAGACTGCAACTCCCATCACTCTTTACCCTTGGCCGTGGTGACTAGGCCTGAGGGGAGTTAAGAGTCCAACAGCAACTGGACTTGTCTCCCACTGCAGCACTAAGGCAGGTTTCAAATCTTGTTTTAGATGCTGAGTTCAGAATTTCGGGTACTTTCTGAACACAGGCCCAATGGAAGTATGCATTTTCAGTGCTAAGAGAGAGTTTATACTCCCACTTCTGATTTACTTTCTCACCCAAGCTCTCTTCATTAGTTCATCCCAGACTGAGGTGGTATTAGTGGTGGGGAGTTGTTGAAAGAAAATCAGAACTTGCAAATCTATTGTAGATTACTTAGAGTTTTACCAGAAGATCCCAAACTACCATCTGTTCTGGGAAAGCTTGTGGACAAAGGTGAGGGGTGAAGATTGGGTGGGCAGCCTTTGTTCTGGCCACATGCCTCCTATGCTTCTGCTCAGCCCTGGTGTAAACCAAACATTGACCTGCTGAGATTTCATTTATGAGATTTCAGAGGAAAAACCCAAGTTCTGTGGACGAGCTATTCTGATGATGTCACAAAGGTGACGCAGGCAAGGGTTGGAAGGGGGGTGGAACTGCTCTTGGACCAGATGAATAGGAAAACAAGCACAAAGAATACCTGTGCAAATGTGTCCACAATCCACGTTAAAACTCAGTTCACCAACTAGTATGACAGCGCACAACTGGGAGGAAAGCAAGACTGGGATATCTTCGTGGATGGCAAAATGTGCTTTGCTGGAAAACGATAGAGGTGGTCACACAGACATTTAAGATCATCTCATGTGAATAAATAAAACAAACAAAAGATTTTTTTCCCCTCCAATGCTGCTCATGATGAGATTTCTCTAGAGACGGGCATGAACTTCCAATTTGACAGATCATGCCAATTCAGCTGATCCAAAGTCCAGTGCCCACCCCCCTCTGGCGGTTGGCCCACTCCACAGGCAGCACTCAGAGGAGGCAGGGCAGGGAAGGTGGCGTCCTGCTTCTAAATGAGTGCTTACTGGAGTGCGCAGGGCACCAAACCACAGATCAGCTGTGCAGCTGTCAGCCAAACCAGGCTGAATCACCGAAGTGGCAGCTCTTGCTCATCTCTAGATTTCACTTTCCACCTGGAAACCAAAGGAAGCACAGTGATTATCTGAGTTTTCTCGAGGTGTTATGAGATCTGGCAATCCCAGGGATGTCCCACCAATGTACACTTCAAAGAACAGTTTTTTTTAAAAAAAAGGCAGTGGCATGTAGGGAAATGAATAGTCTGTGGCACCAGAAAGCTGATATTGAAGTTTGCAAAATTTGTTTTGTTTCATTTAAATTTTGCAAGAGTGTGATCCTTTCTACAAAAAAAAGCTGTCTTTGCACCTCTGCTTTAAAGCAGCAGATTTAATGCATACAACATGAACTCTTGTGAACTCATCTCTTTTTTACCCTTTCATGACAGGGTAATATACAATAAGGCTTCCTGTGTAGCTCACACTTTAAAATTCAATAAAAATAAAGCAATATGTAGGGTTAATGCAACATGAACACACAGGTCAAAGAGAGTAAAAATGGCGTAAAGACAAGACATGTGAAAATTAAGGAAATATCACCCAAATGCTCATCACACCTTACTATCATGGTGGCTTGCAAGTGGGAATGAAGACGGGTATACGGGACATAATGTGGAGATTTTTCAGACATAATTATATTGTTTTATATATCATAGTTGTTAGGGGAAAAAAATAATATTCAGGGGCTAGAATAGAATAGTTTTCTATTTTTCATTTCAACCAAAAAGCAAACCCATTGAATCAATTGTTAAATGTTTAGTGAATACTTGTGTAAATCCTATTGAGTTAATGAGTCCACTCTATTTAGGGTTAGCAGCCAGAGTATCACCCAGTATTAAGCAAAATATTGTAGTGGAATCAATTCATAAATCTGCTAAAAGTTTATCCAGCTCAGATTAAACAGAATAAGAAAAAAATATGAAATAATATACATGAACTTCTGTTGGACAGGGTGTCTGTAGACTCAAGAAACCTTGCCTGGTGTTTAATCATTTGTAGAATCATTTTTAGTATCTGTGTTTTTTACACTGCAGTCCTTAAAAAAAAAAGAGGGAAGTACCACATCACACATATTTTCCAGGAAACAACAGTTTTCCTACACTTCATTTCTTTGAAATTGTGCTTTCAGTTTGTGAAAAGTGTGATGCCCTAACAACAGCAACAAAAACCCAACTTGACAAAGAAAACCATGTGTTGTGGAGCTCACACGTTGTTAAGCTCTCTTAACCAGAAAGATCAAGACTGCATTGTTTGGACCATGTACGTACGTCACAGCTTTAGGGGCTACTTTGGGTCAGATTTGCCTGAAGTGCAGTTGTAAGTTGATGGTTTTTTGTGGTTGAGGGTGGAGGGCATTGAATGAAAAAGTGAAAGAGAGAATGTTCTTGCCATGTTCTTCCTGAGGTTTTGATTTAGATGTTTAAATTCAGGTTAGAAAAAATGCCTCCTTAGTTTACAATTTCTGCATAAGCAGAGTTGAATGGGGAAAAACAATGAGACAAAGATAGATTAGTAGATAGATAGGTACCCTGTTTCCCCCAAAATAAGACCTATTCTGAAAATAAGCCCTAGTATGATTTTTCAGGATGCTCGTAATATAAGCCCTACCCCAAAATTAAGCCCCAGTTAAGTGAAACCCCGCCTTCCACCACTGTGCAGCAACCAGAGAATACATGACTGTATTTGCATGAATGTAGATTGTTGTACAGTCATGCCCCACTTAATGATTACCCCATATAATGATGAATCCGCTTCATGACAATGTTTTTGCAATTGCAATTGCGATCGAAAAATGATGTTTTAATGGGTTTTTTTTCACTTTGCAACAGTCGGTTCCCTGCTTTGGGAACCGATTCTTCGCATTACGATGATCAAAACAGCTGATCATCGGATTTTCAAAATGGCTGCCGGCTGCTCAAAATGGCTCCCCGCTGTTTTTAGGAGGTCTTTTTCGCAAGACAGGCACCCGAAAATGGCCGCCGTATGGAGGATCTTCGATAGACGAGCAGGTATTCAGCCCATTGGAATGCATTGAACAGTTTTCAATGCATTTCAATTGGCTTTTTTATTTCGCTTTACGACATTTTCGCTCTACAGCGATTTCACTGGAATGAATTAACGTCGTCAAGCGAGGCACCACTGTATATGAAAAAAAAATCCCCTGAAAATAAACCCTAATGCATTTTTGGAGCAAAAATTAATATAAGACCCTGTCTTATTTTCGGGGAAGCATGGTAGATACAATATATCACAGAAGTGAATACACCCCCTCACATTTCATAAACATTTTAGTATAGATTTTCATGTGACAACACTGAACAAATGACACTTGGCTACAATTTAAACACTGAGTAGACAGCGTGTAGAGCAGTGTAAATGTGCTGTCCCCTCAAAATAATGCAACACATAGCCATCAATGTCTAAACAGCTAACAATAAAAGTGAGTACACCCCTAAGTGACAATGTCCCAATTGGGCACAAAGTGTCAATATTTTGTGTGGCCACCATTATTTTCCAGCACTACCTTATCCCTCTTGGGTGCAACAGAGCTTCACAGGTTACCACTGGAGTCCTCTTCCACTCCTCCATGACAACATCTGTTGGATGTTCACCTCCACCTTCCATTTCAGGATGCTCCACAGATGCTCAATAGGGTTTAGGTCTGGAGACATGCTTGCCCAGTCCATCACCTTTACCCTCAGTTTCTTTAGCAAGGCAGTGGTCATTTTGTAGATGTGTTTGGGGCTGTTATCATGTTGGAATACTGCCCTGCAGACCAGTCCCCGAAGTACACAATACATGTTGCCATTCATGGTTCTCTCAATGAGCTGTAGCTTCTCAGTGCTAGCAGCACTCATGCAGCCCCAGACCATGACCACGACGCTTGACTGTACGCATGACACACTTGTCTTTGTACTCCTCACCTGGTTGCCGCCACACATGCTTGACACCATCTAAACCAAGTAAGTTTATCTTGGTCTCACTGGACCACAGAACATGGTTCCAGAAATCCATGTCCTTAGTCTGCTTATCTGCAGCAAACTGTATGTAGGCTTTCTTGTGCATCACCTTTAGAAGAGACTTCCTTCTGGGACAACAGACCTGGAGACCAATTTGATACAGTGTGCAGCGTATGGTCTGAGAACTGATAGGCTGACCCCCCACCCCTTCAACCTCTGCAGCAATGCTGGCAGCACTCATATGTCTATTTCCCAAAGCCAACCTCTGGATATGACGCTGAGCACGGGCACTCAAATTCTTGGGTCAACAATGGCGAGGCCTGTTCTGAGTGGAACCTGTCCTGTTAAACCGCTGTATAGTCTTGGCCACCATGTTGCAGCTCAGTTTCCGGGTTCTTCTTATAGCCTAGGCCATCTTTATATAGAGCAACAATTCATTTTTTCAGATCCCCAGATAGTTCATTCCCATGAGGTGCCATGTGGAACTTCCAGTGACCAGTTTGAGAGAGTGAGAGAGGTAACAGCTGCTCCCCCTTCACACTTGAGACTTTTGACACTGACGGATCTCATGACACCAGGGAGGGAAAACGGCTACTTGGGCCCAATTTAGACATTGTCACTTAGGGATGTGCTCACTTTTGTTGCCAGCGGTTTAGATACTAATGGCTGTGTGTTGCGTTATTTTGAGGGGACAGCACATTTAGACTGTTACGTAAGCTGTCTACTCACTGCTTTACATTGTAGCCAAGTGTCGTTTGTTCAGTGTTGTCACATGAAAAGATATACTAAAATATTTATGAAATGTGAGGGGGTGTACGCACTTCTGTCATATACCGTAGATATTCAAACCTCTTTGGATCGCTTATAAACACGGCTAGAAAAATTTGTGCAGCTGTTGTTCTGTTTTCTGTTTCATGGATAGTAGCAATCTAAAGCAGCCTCTCTGGGGAAATGGTGTGGGTCTTGAGGGGGAAACGTGTGTCTGATCACAAGGAAGCACAAGTAAGTGAATGCTGGTTCATTCATATCCCTCATGTGAACTTCTCAAAACTACTTCATTGACTTTTGTGTGTACAGGGCGTTGGACTAGGCCAGGATTTGGCCTGAGCCAACAGCGTTCTTCTTTCGTTTTTGGGACCAGATTTCAGATTATGGAGAAGGGAAGGTGATTCCAGGCCAAAAGCAATTAGATCATCTGGAATCAAAAACTGAAACTGAAGTGACCTTTTCCAAGCTTAGAATCCTAAAAGGAGACCATATTGTACTCCTCCTCCTTCTTATCAGAAGAAGGTTCTTTTATAAGACCATGTGGATAGAACATGAACAGAACAAAGAACTAGGGACGTACATTTGAAAATATTCGGAATCCACCTGGCTAATGTGGTGGCTGGGAAGATGAAAGGGGTGTGGTGTATGGCCTACTCTCTCAACCAAGCTGTTCAAG